TAAAATTGTAACAATAAGCGTTTAAGTAAATTTTTTAAAAGGGTCTACACTAATTGACGACAAATAAATAAAAAAAATAAATAAATAACAAAGCAACGAAAAAACGCTTATGCCTTCATTAAATTCTTCATTTACGCAACGTTCGTTGTTTCTATTTGGTCCTTACAAACTTACGGGAACAAAATTCATAAAACTTTCACATTTTGTTTTTTTTTTGGGTACCGTGCCCTCCTTCACAAAGTAAACTACGACTGACGCGATGATTTTACTAGCGTACAAATATTGCAGATATTTTAAGCTATCTTGACCAAGCTATATTGTGTTTTAAAACGACTGTTTTCTCCTTCATATTTCACTGGACAGCCCCGACTATGCGTCAAACTTCCATATCAAAACCACTAAGCCACATAATTAAACACGACCCGCCGTGACTACCGTCAGTCTTCATCCACCACCCTCATGATCGTGTTAAGGACACACCTAACAACACATCAAAAACTAATCGGTCAAGTGCCAAGCTTGCATGTTCGATCGTGACATTTATTTTATTAACGAATCATGCTTCAGCATGAAAAAAAAATCATGATGCATTATTCGTAGGCAAATAACCGTAAAAACCGAGGAACATGCCTCACGCGATCGAGGTCATATATCGGACAAAAGGGAAACGATGAAAATAAATCTCAATCACTCCCTGGAAGGGAAGCATCCACTCCCGTAAACAATGCATCCGACCCCATCCCGATCAGAAGGGCATAACAAAATTATAACACAATTATACCAATGGTTGATACTTATATCAACGCGTTATATTTTGATATATTAGTGAAATGTGGTCTGTGCGAAGTTTCTCATCATATCAGAATTATAACAAAGTCAGTTATAATTACTATCAATGCATAAAATATGTATTAATGATTCCAAAATAAAAGTTTATCCACTATATTCTGTTTCTAAGTGACGATCATAAGAGGCATCTGCGTATATATAGTAAGAAATGGTAAGATTTTCGAATGAATGTCAAAGATTGTTTAAATCATAAACGGCTTATATCGCGAATTTCTTCAGTAATAACCGGCGTCTCGTATTCAACTATCTCTTTGGGGTATTTAAAAAAAAATATCTGATCTACTGCTCTATGGGAAAAGTAACAAAAAAGTCCGTTTTAATTGATTCACAGTTTTCCACAGGGCATAGAGGTTCAGGTTGTGGAGCTGCTTCATATCTTAAAATAAAATAGGTTGTTAGTGTGCTGTCATTATTAAACGAGAGGACAAAATACTTATACTTACAATTCACACAAAAATAAACCATTTCGGAGCTGGGAAAGCATTAGTAAAAGTGGAAAGGTTTCGGGAAAAATTTTGCCAATGGTGAAAACATTCAACATTTTCATAAAGTATTCCAAACCTCCTTGGGTAAGCTTGTGCCTTATGTAAAAATTTAGTGCGAAAAAAACATGTGATGAATTTTTGAAGATTGATCGTAACTCGAAGGCTCCTGAAAAAAGATAGGATGTTCTCAGTCTTGTCTACCTTGAATAAATAAGATAATAAATACCTATCCAGAACATCGTTCATCGTATCCTTCGAAGAATTCTGCATGGTTTAAAATCTTCCGATTTTTCTGATTCGTGAAAGGAAAACTCTACCGGCCGCGATCCAAAATAGATTGGCTGCCAATTGCTTCTGAACCAGATGATGAATGAAATTCCATCACCATAAGAATCTCATGATTTGGTGGAAGATCCTCTAACAGTCCATGTGAAAGACCACGAACGACGGCAACCAAGCATCGGGCTCAACTGCAACATAATACAATTAAACGCGTTCCGCTTGAGCCGGAAAAAGTGAAATATGTGCGAGGTAACCTTAATTTTTCATTCATTCATTCAGAATTACTAAAACAACCAGTTTTTATCTCAGATCGGTTGCTGGAACTCCGTATTTATCGGGGACACAAACCAGTAGTGTAAATTTCTGTTCAATATGATGCACATAAATTGAGCGTCACATATCATATACGTTAACATTATATATCATGTAAAGTTCTGACACATTTCATGAAATGTAGCAAATATTGTATACAAAAGCTCATCTTTGTAAAAAACATTGTTTGCAAGTTGCTCGGTTGCGTGAAATGAAATACAAGTCTACATGAATGAATGTTTACATCACAATTAAAATTCAGATTTGTTATCTGTGCAGCCAATGTTTATAACACGTTCCATAACATTTTTTTTAAATTAATAACTCCAGTCGTTATAATTTTGTTATGCCTGATCGGGATTCCAGCGCTACCGGCATCCCGCCCACGCATGCCAACACCAGTACCAGAAATTTTCCTCTACCTGACAGGGGAGCCAGCACGGGTGAGCGAGCACACCAGGCACACCAAACCGACCATCAAACGCGCTTCCCTCAAAAGCAAGACACGTCCCCTCGGAAATGCAATCAAAAAATGTATAAGAGTGCATTCCCGAAGCTTCCACGCATATTATTCTCTAGTCAGCCACACAATAAATATCACTTTTCTTTTTAAAATCACTCTGTGCACAAAAGCAATCCACATCATAAAAACCTAACAATAGATCAGCGCGGTCGAGTCGCACCAGCAACAAAGGGAAGGCATCGAGAAACTCCACGCCAGCACAGAGACAGCCCGAGCTGAACAAAATAAAAAAATGAAATGAAAGAACGCAGCGGAGCAAAAACACGACCGTTCTCGAACGATTCTCAAAGCGAACTTCTATTCTACAGCCACAGACAGTATATTTATAAGTAATTTAAAGCACACACTTTTTTGAACCGTAAGGTTAAGGCAAAAAAGTGTGTGTTTGACTTGTACTGTCGCATTAATGGCCCTTCGTTCAATTTCAATTTTTTTTTTTTAATTTTTTTTCCTTGATTTGTTTTTTGTGCTGAGCACTAATGCTACCGACGCCAGGGAGGCAGCTCCCACACCTGGTCCTTTCCTATCGACACATCAACTCATGAACCGGGGACCAACGGTTTTGACGTTTATGCAACTCCGACTGTTCGAACCCTTTTTCTTTCGTTAACTAACAGCTATAAAAGGAACCGCCGCAGCAAAAATAAACATCTTTGGTTGACCTACGATCCAATAGACAGAGCCTTTGTCGTCAGCGCCTAGTGGTTAAGACGACAAAAATTGGACAGTGAGAATTTGATTGAGTACTCAGTGAATCTGATGTAAAATCAAGTAAAGTTTATTTTATAACTAATCAATGAATTAATGAAAATTAATTAAACGGTGAATTAGTAAAAACTAAAGTTAGTGATGCTTAGAACCTGATTAGTGCGTGATACTCACCTGTAAAGAACTTATCTGTGGTGTACCTGTGGGTTAAACCAGAGAAAATTCTCCGAAATATCTATCTCCATCTGCTGTGGTTATCGACACCATGTTTTCTCTTAGTCCTGGATCTGGAAATCTTTAAAAATCACTTGAGTCCCACAATCTTAAGGATTTTTCGTAGACCGTAATCTTCAAAACTGTCTTTTTTCAAGATTTTTATTTTTTTTTTATTCCTTTGATTTCAATATTGTCAAAGTTCAAAATTTATAACACAATATATTAACCACAATCTTTTCCTAAATTAGACCAGAAGTGACTGGTATTGAGCAATCTAGTGGCAAAGTTTTTGTTTATTTCTTAGGCTTTTAAAAAAATTATCAAAATTTAGGGACTGAAAAAATGTATTGCGACATTTTGTTTTGTATGGTAAATTGAACTGACATTTATTTTGTATTTAAAATAAGATTGGACATTCTTCCCCATTTATGCTCCTCTTGATATGGCTGCATAATTAATCTCTAGATGAGGATTGTAAAAGCAATAAAAACTCTGACTACATGTTTAGTATTACTTCTGCGTGAAGTCAACGATTTACATCTATATGCAATTTTCACACTGCCGTACTCTAACGGAACTATCAACTCTAGACTTTCATCTCCTCCATCTATCGTATAAAATTACCACTTTAGTCTGTTATTTGAAATTAGCATCTTCAACTAAATAAAAACTCATTTGAAAATACGTTGGATCATTTTACCCCACGGGTGGGTCTTGGGCTGACAATTTCTAGTATAATCAACTCGCAACTTGCGGTTGTTGCAGGAGCATATAATAATATTGCCTTTGCTTTATTTTCCTTGGAAACTTGTACGACTGCACGGTATTCTAATTAATTTACAAAACTTTTCATCATTTTAAAAGCGAAGGCAAATGTAGTAATCAGAAACTCTTAAAGTGAGTTGTTCGCGTAAAGCTCCTGAAATGGTCCCAGTGGTCCGGTTAATTTCCCAACTAGGCACTTTCGAAACTGTCTGCAATGAAAAACTTTGCTAAATTAATATAGTATATAGTCTAGGAACAATCGCTTCTACATGCTCCATCAACCAAGAAGAGAGAATGTCAGCTGAACTTTGTTACACATGGACCTGTTAGTTTGGGAGTATTTTTTTGTTTGCGTTAATCTAGAATCATAGACCACATCACCCTTGGCTATGATCAAATGATAAACGAGCGCACCCGAGTAGTGTTACGTTATTGAATTTAATGTACTTTAATTTAATCCAGGCTTACCACGTTCACAGCTCAATGAGGATAACAAATTTTACGGGCACCGATAATTGATTGAATTTTGATACAACTAATAGATGTACACCGCAGTAGACTAATGAGCTAGTAGGAATAATCTATCTGGGCGAGGGGATGCTGCGGTTTGTCGTCGATTTTCACGGATGCTTAGAACCGCGAATTGGTTGACATGTCGGATGATCATATTATGGAACTGGAACGATTTCCATGTATTATCCCTGAAAATTAAAGAATGAATAATGCATAGAAATAGAATGGTTTAAGTTACACATCAACAACAATCACAATCTGTATTTATATTAAATTTTTATGCATGACACTTTAATAAAGGAAATCAGCCACTAAAATATCATTTATCAATTTCTTCTACTCTCCAGCTCAACGTGTGAATGCCAAAAACAAACCATGTTGAAATGTGATAGGAACAATGATTATTTCGTTGAATTTCTTCAATAAACATAGACTAAAACCAAGCGTAATTGTAAAAGTTTTACAAAGACGAATTTCGTAATGATTTAAAAAAAACAGCAACCACCACCGAAGTGAAAAAAAAATCATCATGGAAAAGACCCGATAAGTGCACAGCTGAGAGAACCGAGAGTTTAATTTGTTGTGTTTATCAGTGCAAATAATACGAACTCGAATTTTAAATGCATATAATGGATGAACACGTTCAACGAAATGAAAATAAGAAACATCGAAAACTAGTTCGAAGCTATGAACAAATATCGCCCGCTTGTGATATTCTGCCATCGCCAACCGGTGGCACCACCGAGCCAAAACAAACCTCTCCTTCGATGACTATGGTATTACCGCCGACAGGCGGTCTTGCAGTCAACCCAATCACCGGAAGTAGCATTCCAACAGGAGCAACCATCCAATCACCGAAAACACCATCCCCAAATCTTATCTCACCGCAAACCCTCAGCAAAAGCTTTGAGCACGCGGTAGCTCAGTCACCACCAAAATATCAAATGTATCATCAGTTCAGTCGAAAATCCAATACAACTCAACAATTCGTACAGCGCCAGCAGCAACTTAAGCAGAGTTTATCGCAAACTCAACTTCCCTCACCCACTCATCAGCATTCGGCATTGGGTCGAAAACCTAGCCTCACACAACCTGCTACTGGTGTAGAAACAACCGACACGAGAACTTCCAACCCCAAGCCTACTAGCTACTATCATCATTCGCTCCAACAATCGAAACCTATGGACCAAAGAAGCAATAACCCTTTTATACTTAATTTTAACAACATATCTGGATGTTGCATCAAGAACTCTCCTCCATCATCCACCACGTCATGTTCATCGTCTCCTACCACTAATCCACCAATAACAACTATTTATTCCCAAACAAATTCAACACCCTCGCCGTCGGTTCCAGCACGACGAAGTCGATCGTTGATGTTGAAATCTTCCTCACCCCTCCAACAACCCAATCCACCGGTCAGCCAGATGTCCACTCCACTAGCGTCAACTCCTGGTCCACCGGTTCCACCAAGGCTCAGTAAATCTCCAACCCCAACCAAAGAAACGGCCCCACCATCAACGGCAACCTCTTCCACGATCACCACTTCTACTACTACGAATGTTTCTTCGGTCATAACAGCGCCTACCATAACCAGTACCAGTTGTTACGTTACCCTAGCACCGACAACCGAAAGTGGGAAACAACGGGAGATCTCACCTCCGATGCTCCTGGAAACCACCGCCAGTAGCAGTGCAACTAGTTCAGTCGATGAAGGATCTTCGGGCACTACAGTGAATGTTCGAAAGAAACGGGATGATTTTTTGAAAGCTACCATGAAAATTTGCCTTGTGGTATCGCCACCGTCCTGTAAGCTGCAGGTGAGTTTGTTGAGACAGACTTTTTTTTAATTTCAAGGCATGAGTTTAGCAGTTTTGGTTTGTTTTGTTACTGTTTGACAGTGTTGCCATTGACCGACCATTGATTGTTACCCGGAAATCGAGAAATAGCCGGTGGCTCTTTTCGAAAATTCCCGGGAAACGGGAAACAGTGTTATCCATAATTCAATCCATTTTATACTTTGATTTTAAAAAGGTTTTCTACAAAATGTTCTCCTTATTACTTTTTTCAATATCTCATGAAGCAGTAAACAATAATTTTAGCATGATGGCTGCGCCCGAAAGATTCTTCCAAATTATCCCCGGAAAATTCTAGCACCTTCTTCCAAAAGTTATGTTCCAACTTTTCCCGAATGTTTCTCGCAAATTTCAGTGGAAGTTTCCCCGGAAATATCTCCCATCGTTTGGCATAAGTTTTTTTTTCGATTTGTCCCAGAAGTTATTTCCAGAAGCTCTTCTGGATTCCACAGGAATTGGATTTTTACTTCACAGGTAGTTTTTCCCTACCATTTCCGAAAAGTTTATTCTTATTCAGATTTTCACGTAAAATTCTGCTAACTTATACTTGAAATTTTATCTAACTTCCTTCAGAAGATTCTGTCATCATCACCTGAAAGATTTTTCAGATTTCCAACGAAATTTTCTTCTGACATCCATCAAAATCCGTTCTGGCTTCCACCAAAAGATTCTTGTGAACTATTTCCGAAGCTTTCTTCCATATTTTCCAGAATGTTTATTCCAAACTCCATCGAAAGCTTATTTTTAGCTTTCCCATTAATCTCTTTCTGGAAGTTTCTTCAAACATCCCCCAGAAGGTTCTTGTGGCTTCTACTGGAAATTTCATCAAAGATCCTTCTGGCTTCCCTTGGAATTGTCATTCGTCTCCTCAGGAAGGTTTTATCAAACTATCCTAGAAGATTCTTCCGGATTCTTCTAGAAAATTGTTCTGACTTTTCTCAGAAGTTGTTCTGGCGTGCTCCAGGAAGGATCTTCCGACATTCCCCGTAAGGTTCTTCTGACTTCCACTGAAGTCGTATTGACCTTCATACAGAAGTTTCTTGCAATTTTCGACTTCTTCTAGAAAAATGTTCCGACCTCCCCCAAAACACTAATATACTGGTTTCACGGAAATGGTTTCCGTTGCCTTGTAGTCTATTTTTAGAAAAAATGTGTAATCAGTTTGTATTTTGTTAATAAATTGCTATTTGCCGAAAACTAATTCCGGGAACCAGGAAATAAGATATTTGTCAAATTTTCCAAGAATAGTTTCCCGGGTAGTCACAGGTGAGAAGCAATAATGAGAATAGATTATTCGGTAGGAGTCACTAGTGACATAAAAGGGACCATACTTATCATAACATTATCTACAGGGTTTATTAAAAGGTTTAGTTTTCATCCATACACAATCAAAGCATATTTTAGGCCCCTCCTTGAGCACTGTAGTATAGTCTGGACTCCATATCAAGATACTTATATAAACCGCATTGAATCAGCTCAAAAACAGTTTTTATTATTTGCTCTAAGAAAGTTAGGTTGGACGAGTTTACCCTTACCATCTTATGAGTCTCGATATAATTTGGATGCAATTGAAAAGCGAAGGTAGTTTGCAATGATAGCTTTTATAAACGATGTTTTAGCACAAGAGTGAATGCTACAGATATTTTAGAAAATCAATTTTTATGCTCCCACTCGTTTCTTAAGAAACAGAAATATGTTTTATATTAACAACCAAAGAAGAAACTTTGCCAGGAAGGCGCTTTTTAATAGAATGATGTCTTGTTATAATAAACATTATGAAACAATTGATTTGACAATGAACAAAAATGCTCTTAAAAAACGTTTCTTTTCGAAGTAAGTCAGAAATTACAAACTAAAATAGATGTTAAATATTTTTCTAATCTCATCTAATCTAACACCAACACAGCCAGTTCTTGAAAGCATCCTGGAAAATGATATATATATACCTACATCATTTTTTTGTCACACATCAAAACGGCCAGGCCTACTGTGCAGCATTTAAGGGGCAAGAAGATTCAGAAAACATCGGGCCTGTTTAAATCTAAGATTTAAACACGATGCTTCAGAATTCAATAAATGGATGAAACGTGGACATCTCGTACCGTACGTTCCGATTTTGGTAATTTTATGATTGGTTGGTCGTTGGAAGCATCAAAGCTAGAAAGGTTAAGTGATGCTCCATTTTCTTCTGACGGTTGGGGCATGAGCACTAGCTCTTGTCCTAGCCTTTTATGACTTATGGCTATAGCGCCATTACTCGCTTTCTGAAAAGAGAAGAGGGAAAGGAAAAGGAGAAGGACAAAGGGAAAAGGATCATGGGAAATCTATGAACATAAACAATATTTTTTATTTGAAATATAGGTACAATATAGAAATGCAGAACGGCGCATCATTATCAAGTCATTAAAAGTAACAAGGACTAAATTGTGATCCTTTGATTACTGGAAAATCCTGATGCTTGGGACTAGCAACCATCCTCAATGTGTACAAATTGGTGATCTCAAACTAGGCAATACCAGCGCCAGCCGCGCCCTAACGCAAGAAGCCGAGAAATCCTCTGCACTTCAACAAGGAATCACTGGGATGTTGGGTAAGAGGGTTGAGTTTGCAGCAGGGTTCGTTTTGGTAAACGATAAGCTGAAGTGAAATATAAATAGATAAATAAAGATAAAAAGAACGATCTCACCGAGTGACCAAGTGAATCTGTATCAATCGTTTGCTTGATGAGGATCAACATCCGGAACTTGAATGAAATTTCCTGAATCGAGTGCTCTCTTGATAGGTTCATCACTCCAACTTGCTGCTTAGTGTGATCAAGACATCGTGAATCCAATGGAGGATGTATTTCATTTTGTTAACTGCTTAACCAGTGAATATCAGGGACGTAGGTCTAATATTTCTTTGAGAATCTTGCAGGATGGCTGCAATATAGGCGAACTCGGCAACACTTCCTTCACCCTTTCTCATCTATCCAACGCTAACCGATCGTCCACAAACACAAAAAACTTCACTTCCTCTTGCAAACAAACAACAAACGACTAAATCTATACACCAAAAATAGTTAATTGTCCGATAAGTCCATTCCGGATTCACTATCATTAATGCCTTGTATATCGAATAATCACACTAGCGGAAAAAAGAAAAAAAAAATCGTGACAGCTCTTAAAAAGCCAACCGACCTCAGCAGGGCCTACTCAGAATCAACTGGCAGCTATAATGTGTCAAACACAAACTTCACAATTTTTCCTTGTTCCTTACACAAGCAAAATATTATCATAATATCTTATTGTTTCATAATTTCATATAATTTTTTTTAGCCAACATGAATGGAAGGTACCCTGTCTTCAAACAATCTCTACACGCTCAAAGCAAAACAGGCTATTTTGATTTGATTTCAATGGCACAAATTTTCATGACAAGAAGAACAAGTATATAACGAATTCCGTGTGTGCTATCTGCTTCTCCCTCCCAGGGAAACACTTTAGAAATAAATATGAAACGATCTCAACCCAACAGCCAAGTAGAGCTCCTCCCAGCAGCTCCAGAAAGCCTGCCATTTCAGCCTCGATCCTTCCAGTGGAAAATATCAGGGTCACCCGTCAACAAGGATCAGAGCCGGTTCTCTTAAAGCTCCATAGTTATAGATGCACTCGCTAGGCTTCATTTATTTAATTCCACTGCACTTCTAGCATTAGACAACAATCGAGCATCGGACAGAGCAAGCTTCTTCACAAGAAATGTACTTTGAAGCTCGGTTCTGGTAGCAGGTTGGGCAAGAGGTCTCCGAATGATTGTATTTAAAAATTGTCAGTGGCAAAACTTCTCAAAAACTTCATTTAAGTGTTCCGCAGAAGTTCGTTTTGAATACACTTAAAAAAATGTTCTGGCTACGAATAGACTCATCAAAGCTCTGAAAAAGAAAGTTGTAAACCTTGAATTCCCATGGTCCTATGGAATTAGTTTCATTCCAAATGCTTGGAGTTATGAAAATTTTGGATTTTTTTTCTACTAAGCTCGAACTTTTGCCGCACCTTACTCTTCTACATGGCATAACTTCCCAAGGGATGTCAATTTTAAAATACTTGGATGGGAAAATGATTAGTTCTAAAAATTGTGACAGAAAAACACGAATACTGGATAAACTTTGTTTTCACACCGTAGTAACTCTATGGGATTATTGTGAACGATACTCGAAGTCTATGATAAAATGTACATGCAATTTTGAGCTAAGACGCAGCTACAAAGCAAGACCATGCTGGAGGTGGCTGGGTTCGATTTTTTGGGTTGTAAAATATCTCGAATTCTGTGGGCATAGAGTTATGCATGTACTTGCCACACAATTATACTAATGCAAAAATGGTACAGGCAACGAAAGCTCTCAATTAATAACTGTGGAAGTGCATCTAGAACACTAAGTTGAGAGCACGCAGTAGGCTAATATGCGATAAACAATAAGCTTGAAATGCGAAGAAGAAGAAGAAGAAGAATAAGAAGAAGAAGAAGAAGAAGAAGAAGGAGAAGAAGAAGGTAGTGATAATAATCTTTTAAATGCGTCCGGATTTGTGGACTCCGTGTACGGATTTTGAGCTCTAGATTAGTAGATCTCTGAAATATGTACACTTTTTGCTAATTTCTTAAAAATATCAGCTTATTTAAATTTCATTATGCTGATTTGCCGTCATGTCCCCAAAGTATTACGTCCCTTATCAATTCAATTCAAAGTTATCTAACATTTTCATTTCACCGATGCTATTACGAAGACTACGAACAATGAAGATACTGCTTTGACAGCAGTTACTTTCATTCAAACAAAAAAAATCCAAATGCAGTGATCTGATCCCGATACATGTGTACTTGTGATCTATAGAGTCTAGGGGAAAGGCTTAAAAGTATTCATATTTCAACGTCATCGATTTACCGATGAAAACCACGTTGTCGCGGTTGCATCCAACCATGGCATGGATTTTCGTTACCATTGAAATATGAACACTTTCAATTCAGCCAGCGGTTGTGTCATCATGTCGTGTTTTTCGTGTAGTCTGTTTGTTTTTGCTAGCCTCTCTAGTATTTTTCGTTTGTTTCAGAATACAATCTTACTCAACGCATTTTTTTTTTACCAACATCAGCGATAGAACTTGTTGTCAAAGTTCCGCATCCCGGCATTAATCAGAAGCCATCAAGATATCGTTTGCATTGTGAAACTCCTGTAAAATATGTGTGCCTCTTTATTCCAAGAACAACGCCACGCACAAGCGTTTTATTATTTATCACATTTTGCTATACAGTATAAGTCCGGAGGGACAGAAGATGTGTAAGGTCCTTCATCTCTGCTATTACTTAAATGTACCGTCGTGGTGGGAAACTTTGACACGTTCCTCTATAGTTATGCTTAAAATTAGTGCATGAAATCAGAAAACTAGACAAATAATCATGTTGTATGATTTGATGGGTGTTCTCTTATGAGGTACCTTGTATCTTAAAATTGATCGTACACCCTAGAAGAAATTTGATGGTGAATATACGTATTTTTTTTTTAATTGTGGCTGGGGATTGAACAGATGTTTATTGATTTATTGCTGTAATTTTGGTCTTAATTAGATTATTAGGTTAGATTTATTTTAGTAAACGTTCGATTTTCACTTTCGACTTTTTACCTTGTGGACGAATGTTAGTAAAATTAGTGGCAGATGAGTGATCCTTATTACGACTAAAAATGAGCAAACTTTTAAAAAGTTTTATTAATTTCATTTCAAAAAAATTAGGTTTTTCAAGAAAAATGCGGTTTTCTTAAATTGCACTAACTTTTGTTAAACTCAACCAAATATGCCCAATGCTGAGCCAATAATTGATGTTGAGTCAGCTGCCAAAAAATCAGAGACGTAACTTTTTAACTTGTGCTTCTAGAGCCGTTTTTCTCAAATTTAAGTACTGCTGTACGATCAATTTGGAGATATACTGTACATGAGATGAACTTGCCTAGTGCTTAAAATCTCAATAATAAAGTAATAAAAATACAATCTTATGACGTATTATTTGATAGATCAGAGTTAATTGTTCAACAAAATATGTATGTATCTGCTTAGACTAAATTTGCTGACAAAATAATCAAAACACTAACAATGAATAGAACTAGCCAAAGTTGATTATCGCCTATTTCAAATGCTTTACTTATTCTTCTAGACTTCTGTAACGAGCGTTTTGCGTCAACTTAGCGTTCTAGGTGCACTTATACAGTTATTGAGAGCTTTCTATAGTAACCGATGCATGAATTTGTAAATTGTGTGGCAAGATCATTGATATTCTATCATCAGGGAAGTTGAGAAAATTTCCAACCCGAAAGATTTCTTCGACTAGACCGGGATTCGAACCCGCTGCTAGACTATCTGAGGCCCATACTTTATATTATTCACCGATTACAATAGCGTCCAAAGAAGCCCGCCACGACGGTAGTTTTCCTTTCTGGAGAATGAAAATGATAAATGGGAGCTCATTTACAATCATGAAACCGCTCACGGTCGGCTAAAGAAGCTGAGGCTATCTGCGTCTCGTACGATAAAACCCCTCGTTTAGCATAATATTCTGCCCAATTAGTGTTCCATGGTGTGGTTCATGGGAATGTGTTCGTGGCAAGAATTTCAATTTATCCTGTTCAGTGTTTGAAATAATCATTCATTTGAAAATACACTCACTCCAGCAAAAAAGGTTAAGCTTTTTATTATATTTTGTGTTTTATATAAATTCATCATTCAGATTTTAGAATTCAACTTTTCTTCCATTTTTCTAATCTCTTTTCAGCTTAAATCAAGAAGCCTTTCTCATCTGGATAAAATAGAGCCACAGATTACGACACCGAGTAACATTTCCGCAGACCATCATCAGTTCGATAGATTCAAGGTGAGTTTGCTTTTATATATCCCTGCTAGTATCCAAGCACTTGTATCAATTAAGAATGATCCAATACCAACTCGATGTCAACCATAGATATGCTTTTCCCCCTTCATCACATGACCCGGCCCTGCCCACTCCAGCCATTTCAACACTGCGACTTTTAACTATATTTCGAAGATTATTAGTATATAAATAGAGGCATATTATCCCAAACTTGTGTGCAACGTGTTTTAAAAGCCAGGATCAATTTTTTAACTTGACTTCGTTTATTAATGTTGATTGGTAAACAAAACCAAAATTCTGTGTATCCAGGGTAGGTGTACACAGCAAAAAAATAGTTTTGATATCACATCAAAGTGGATGCACTACAATCATGTCGAAAATTTCATGTAATTTTTATGACCACATAAATAAACAAATGCAGTAAAAGCAGCGTAATGTCAGTTCATGCATTGTATTATTGATAATTTTGTCCTTTTTAGCAAGTAATATTACACCATATTTTCGACATGATTGTAGTGCATCCACTTTGACGTGATATCAAAATTATTTTTTTGCTGTGTACCAGCCGTGGCTATATGTTTCAACTATAGTGTGTTACAACTATGGAATATTGGAATTCCATAAGCCATTATTGGAATACATAAAGGAACGTATAGCCATGACTGATAAATTTAGCCTAGGTTATTTTTCAATATATTTTTGGTTACTATTATACAAGAAGAGAGCAATCAAACATTGAAATTTTCCATGTCGTGACAACTGATGCTTGTACAGAATACGATTACTGTTCCCATCCCTAGTTGGTAGATTAGATGTATTCCAATTTTTTTTTATGATTCAAACAAAATCCTCCATTACCACTAAGGATTCAAGCATATCTTGTATGATTTCTACAGTACATATTATTATTCTCTTTGTCATATCTATTTCATAACAACGCTTGGGACCTCGATTGGGGAAGCCTTAAAAACTTATTGATTCTGAACCAGCAATGACCGTTTGATCTAGCTTTTTGTAATCAAATCACATCACATAGCGTCCGGATCTCATAAGGATTTTAATGATAACTTAAGAAAATTCTCATGTTAGATCAGCGCTGCCAGCTTCTGGTATCTGGATCTCAGCAATGATCAATGAAATTTAGCTCAAAATTAATAAGGAATAAATAAAATGCAGCAAGAAACACGTTCATTGAATGTAAAAGAAACAGCCGTTTGAAAGAGTAAGTTCAAATAGGCTGGGCAGGCCTGTGTTATATAATTATCGGAGTTAGGTAATTCTAGTATTTTCGATTACAAGATTTTTTTTTAGATTCTAAGGCTGTTCACTTTATAAAACGGACACCTTAAAGGCCCATAGCTTTTTCATTTTACGTTGTGTCCGTATTATTTATTCTAGATGTGTGATGATTATGATGCAAACAAAATTATGTAATGTTTAAATTATTGATTATCAAACTCATAACTTCTTCCAATTTTTTTTCTTACGTAAACAAGCGATTTTTTTAATTTTTGTTTTCCATTGGAACCTCAACATGTTTATATGTGGAAGCACTTAGGCTCGTACCCATATTCTTTGAACTTGCAAGAGCACTATCAAATTGAATGAAAACTTCTAGAGAATAGCGTAACGTTACAAGATAAGGAAGAATCATAATTATTAAAACCCAATTGTTAGTTTTCTGAAGATGTAAACATGGTACGAAAAACATCATTAGTAATTAAGAGCCATCCACGTGTTCCAGATGTATCAAAATGAGAACGACAATTTTTGTTAATGAAATTTTAAAGAAAGGTATTATAAACTATTGTAAAAATGGCATGCACCTTCAAATGTATTGTGCTACATTTTTGCTATGTTGCTTACACATAGAGCTTCATACTTACCGAACAAAGCATTCAGCTAAGTAAACACACAAACAAGTTGTGGCCTACTGTGTGTGTCTGTTTTATAAAGTCCTTAGGTATCACATTAAATTCTAGGACTTTGAATGTTTTAATATTCAAAACTTATTGCCCATAGAACAAATTGGGACTTAGGAAAATGTTCAAGATATGTGTATGTCAATGAAAAATTCCTCAAATTTGGAATGTTAAGATAAAAATAGATTTGACATCCCAAACCCATAATTTTTCAAGATTTTGTAACTAAAATAAAAAGATTGTAAGTATAAATTCTCTGAATTTAAATGTACATAAGAATCCTCGATATTAGATAACTATGAACAAAATTAAAGATCCTTCTAAGACAGTTTTTTTTTTCATAAAAATTCTAAAACAAGAATATTAAAAAAAATATTTATGAATTTTAATAATTTTACAGTCAATTCTCCATATTTCGAGATATGGAAAGATCGAGACATAGAACAAGAATAGCCTACTTGACCATTTGAAGGGACTGAGATAACCATCAACATATAGAAAAAGTGATCACATATCGAGATATGGAGAGTTCACTGCACTTAATTTGACCTAATCAAAAATGCAAGTTTCATAATAACTCCAGAAAATGAATATGCCTGAAAAAATCCTAGCATTTTTTTAAATATAAAAATACCATATAACCAAAAGTTTCGAGACCACGGACTTTCAGACTTCAAATTTGGCAAAAAAAAATGAAATACAGTGTTGGCAAAATCATCAATCATATGATATTTTTCCGCTCTCATACTGTCTCAATATCATGCATGATATTGGAAGAAAATATCATGAATGATATTGATTTTACAAGCTCATTAATAATGCGAGACTATTCACAACGTGTAAAGTTGAAGCTGAGAGATAAATCGACGCAAACATGATTCCGTTGCTCCTCGTTTTCTTAGAAAGAGAATGTATAATAATGCTATCTCTTTTTTTTCTTCATCGATGGCAAACACTAAAGGTGCCGCCACACGGCGCATGATATTGATGTTATAGTTCTCTATGACATAAAGGTGCCGCCACACGGAGGCTATTTCTAGTATATAGCGAGCTATGTGATAGAAAACTATATTATAGCCCATAGGAACACCTAAACTATGACGTGATAGCTCATAGTTATGACTTGCAAGTTATAGTTTAGAGCTATGACATAGAGCCAAATTCATTGTCGTGTGTACACTCTCGCGGTAGTTTCTATATCATAGTTGCAAGCTATAAACTATTCCATCAAGCCGGAATCGTTCATAGTTTATTGGTCATAGTTTTTTAGTCTGTGTTCGGCACTCTTGTTTTTGTTTTAGAAACCACTCATAGACATCTTATCAAAATGAATTCGGAGTTGTGTTCGGAATATGGACTCTGGAGACTATGGGATGGTCCACCGGAAGATCCGCAACATCCGTAAAAGTGCTCAATTCATGAAACTGATCGTAGAATCTCCACGGTTTTTTAGAAACGACTCGTAGATGAATTATCACAATAAATTCGGAGTTGTGACCAGAATTTTTATACTGGGAACCACGGGATGGTCCACTAAAAGATCCGGAACATTCGTACAAGTGGTCAATTAATGAAATTGATCCTAGAGCTCCCGGTTTTTTCGAAACCACTAATAGACGTTTTATGACAAAAAATTCCGAGTTTTGACCAGACAATGGATGCTGGGGACCACTCATAGATCCGGAACATTATTAAAAGTGGTCAATTCATAAAACTGATCCTAGAGCTACGGGGTTTTTTTTAACCACTCATAAATTAATATGAATAATAACTCAATAAGACGGTATTTTTAAATGGCTTATTGATTCAATTCTGATGTGATGAATCAAAACTATAAACATTAAATATAGTCCCAAAATCCAAAGAAAGAGCTCTAAGAAGTCAAGAGAGTCAAAAGAATTCCAAGGAATAATATTCAAAAATTCCGTTAAAAGCACCTAGAAGTTATTAAACACTTAAATACCACCTAGAAATCATCCATGATGATAAATTGAAAAAATATGTCTATGAGCAGTTCTAAAAAACCATAGAGTGCTGAGATCAGTTTTCTTGAACGATCCACTATTTTTATTCGGATAATAATAATAATATCCGGATATTCTGAAGCACCATCCAATGGGGTCCATTTTCCAGTCACAACTCCGATTTCATTCTGAAGAGACGTCTCTTATCTTCCAGGGGAGCGTCTATGATGTTCCAGAGGAGCATTCATGGTCTCCAGGGTTTATTTTCCGATCATAACTCCGAATTCATAATTATAAGACGTCTATGAGAGTTTTCGAATAATACGGTGTTGTTGGATCAGTTTCATGAATTGACCACTTTTACGGATGTTTCGAATCTTTCGGAAGACCATCCACTGCACAAGTCCCAAAGCCATGTTTAGGAAGACAAAATGTTTGCACCCAAACCGTCAGTTTAAGGTATATAGAGCCTTGCGGCAGGGTTACTTCCACTCACTTGCTATAAAAAAATGTTTTTCAGAATTATGAAATAATGAGATGGTATAGTGATAATTAGAACTTGTAAGTTATAAGATGAGGACGTGAAGTATGTGTTTGACACATAAAATCTGTCAATATTGCTTTCAGTGCGTCACAATCAGCGATTTCACGACTCGTGAGTGCTCACTCTGATTGAACGCTCACGAATCATAAGATCGCTTATTGTGACGCTCTGAAAGCCAAAATTGACAGATTTTATGAGTCAAACACATTCTTTAAACCCTCTTCTCGTTACTTACAAGTACAACATATCATTTTATTATCTAATGATTGCATAATTCCGAAAAAAAAATTTATAGCAAGTGAGTGGAAGTTGCGGAAAGTTGCTTCATTTTTTTGGCCGATCTTTTTATGTTTGTGAAATTAGGGTGGTCGACAAAATTGGTGAATTGAATATACAAACATTTTTATTATTTGAGATAGACCACTGCAATGTTCAAAAAAGTTGTAGAACAATCAATTCAAAGTATTTTTATTTATGACACTAAATTTATATCTCTTATGGTTCATGAGTTATGATTTTTTTTAAACAAGCAGTTAAGGGTGACCCCTAAAAAACAGATTTAGTTGAATAACT